GGAGGGTGACGTGGTGAGTGTCATAAGTCCACGTAAACATTTTTTACACGTTGGCATATCCACATCAATTATTTCAATTAAGTTAACGTGCCATGTAAGTAAAAATTAATGGAAGGACTAAAAAGGGGCCGGATTTGTGAACAGTAATGACCAAAAAGGGAATTTTTTCGATACAAGAACTAAAAAGGGATTTTTTCCTATAGTAGAGGAACCAAAAAAGGTATTTAACCAAAAAATAAAAGTATAGTTGGACAACTGTAGGGGTTGACACTTTGATGCAAAATTTCAAAGTTGAAAACCCAACACGTAATCATTGGATAATGCCAATCAGAGGTGTCGATACTTTCAAAATAGTGTCGACACGAAGTCCATGTCAGACTTTTTACATTTGGGCACTGCAGTTTCTTTGAAGGACAATAAAACACATTTAGAATGGGTATTTGGCCAGATATAGCAAAAAAATTTGAAGAATAATAGCTAATAATATCAGATAATACAAAATAATTTAACAGACTATTACTTATTATAAAAAAATTTAAATAGTTAGAGCATAACATGTTTAATATTCTATATAAAACATTATTTGAATTTAAAAGTATTTTATAATTATTGTAATTACACATAATTTTCAAAGAAAATCATGCACAACAGATATAAATTGTATCTAAAAATATCAATTATATGACAATTACATGTCCAAAAAACTAGAAAATGCTATCTAAATTATTAGGAAATTATACTTAATAATTATATTTAAGAAATCTATATGGCAATCATATGACTGAAAATACTATAAATAATTATACTTAATCTAATCAATAGTTAACTTCTCTGGTTCTAATTTTGGGTCCTAACACTCACCATCAATGTCCTGCATCCCTCTAATACTGTCCAAAAGAACTGCCCCCCACATGCATGTACAATAGGAAGTCTATGTTCTCTTGCGTATTGTCATCCTATATAATACAATAATAATATAGAATATATCTCAATCCACATCATAATAAAAAACAAATAGAAATTCAACCACAACCATTCATATTTTAAATATTAAAAAGAATATTATTTATAAAAGTAATGAGATAAATGTAAACACTCATCGCTCGAGATCAATGACTCCCTTGTGGTTAGAATCCATAAGACATATAGTACACAAATAAAAGATCTATTAAGCAATTTTTTTTTTTTTCTTTCTTTCTTCCTTTTCTTGTACTCTACTATGGATCCTACAAATTAAAATAAGTCCTTTAAATGGGCAGGTAGTGAGTGGACAAGTAGTGAGGTGGCGTAAAATTTGTTCAATTAAGCATTTTTTTTCTTAAGTGTAATTGCCATATCATTAAAATTTTAGAAAGATTGAAGTAGCTCGTTAGTTTAACCAACGAAGTTGGATGGGAGTTGACAGAGAGACATGTTTGGTGTAGAAATTTGGGGTAAGGGGACCAAAAAATTGTAGAATCAAGTTGAGGGACAAAATTAGTGCAAAACACTCAAGTTGAGGGACCAAAAAAGGATTAAACCTTAAACTTTTCTAAACGTTTCTCATTAGAAGATTATTTGCATATGACTCACTAATAACTTTCCTATCAACTTTTTCTATACTAATTATTTATTAAAGATAAAAAAATTAATAACTTAATAAAATTTTAACAAAATTTTATTATAAAACTTATTAACATTTTGTACAATACTCCTACCTTTTCAAAATACATTTTTACAAAACTAAATCAAGACTAACAAAGCATATAAGTATATAACCCAGAAGTTTCAAGCAAACGACTGCACAAAATCTCCCAACAGATAACTAGATCTCTGTTCTAAATTAGCCTTGCATTTATTGTTGTCGATGAAATTGCTTCTGAGGATACTTGTGCCTTTTCACAGCAGTAACAAACTCAACCGGCCTTAGTGTCCAAACATGAAATGAGAAAACACATCCAGCTTTCCTTGTTTTTAATCCATGCAAATGTTTTAATTTGCACAGCATCCAGCAACTTCTCCCCAAAGTTCCCCCCATTTTTACAATCCTTAGCATCCTTCCGTACCACAGAAGCGAAGCCACGACTGAGAACAAACAGAATCCCACCTCCTTCCGTTCCTAAACCATACATGAAATAATCAGCCAAATCTCTTACATCATTCGGTAACTCCCCTTCAAATCCCCACCATTACAGCATCTTCCTCCAAACAAACCACGCCTCCTTACATGTACAAAACAAATTATTATTTTAGGTGTAGTTATTGTCACCACAAAACATGTTAAGGTCACTAGTTTTCTTAATTTTTTTCTTAAATAATATCTAAAAATATAAATTTA